ATAATCTGCCAAATTTTGTTAACATATGCTTACTAATTTAAAAGTTATATCATGAAAACTATAGCAAGTGCAAAATGGTTTTGATGTCGGTCCCAGGAACTGAGCCCATGCTGAGTTAAAGAAACTTTTGATATTCTTTTAGGAGATCCTAGAGGTTATACAAATTAAATATGAAAACTTTAAAATGAAAAGAAGTGTTTTTATTCGTAGTGATGAAAATCATCTTGTTCTCAGACTAGTCTGCTAGTCAGACTAGCTCGATAAATTCATAGGAACATCTTTAGTAAAAATACTTTCTTAATTTTTTTTTCTTTTGTACAGCTGACTGTACGGGTTTACTAAAACTTTGCCAAATTTTGTGAAGCTACGTTTTGTATATTTGTAATTATAATAAACATTGCTATGTATAGCTTCACAGAAACAGGGGCTAGGTGATAAGCACCATCTTCATAGGGCTAATACTACAAAGTCATGCTGGCTTGTTTACGGCAGTAATATAATACTGACATGTTCTTATTCATTGATTGTTTAACAGCAGTAATATTACACTGTTTTGTTGTTTTATAGCCATCAAATTGCTATAACCTGTTCACCTTCAATACCTTTGATTTTGATTGGTGTTTCATAAATTCCTAAACTTAAATATTTGATTCTGGCAACAAACAGTGTGATGTATGCCATTTTAATGATATTTAGGAATTGTCTTAACAATCTGTCTGATTTGCATGATTTTCAGGACATGTTTCTGACAACAGCCACTGTGAACTATGAAGGTGTTGGGTACCTGAGAGTGCTGTCTACGTGCACGTTGGTTCCATTTCTTTATTCTCTTCCAGTAATCTATTGGTTCGATACAGACAAGAAATACCTCTCTACTGCCTCCTAGCTATGGGAGTAGTGTTTTGTAAGTTCATCTAGAGAAAACGTAGCAGTAGTGTGGGATGGATGTTATAAATATAAAAAAATATATCTTCTTACTATAAAGGACGTAGCGTGTATAGCAGTATCTGTGTATGTAACCAAAACTCCTTTTCCATCTACGGTATGTGTAATAACCATTTCTTTATAACAGAACAAAATTTTCAATAAAAGTACTCTTCTCACAACAAGAGCACTAGAACTGTACACAAAGGTTTGATTATATCTTTATTGATGTAATTTTTAAATGTAGCACTGAGAAACTGGATTTCTTAAAAAATATTAATATATATATAAAAACATTACACTTTAATACAACGATTAACAACTATGAGCACAAACAGTTGCCTGTAGGGTGGCGTTTCTGTTGGTATTTGTAATTTAATACAACGATTAACAACTATGAGCACAAACAGTTGCCCGTAGGTGGCGTTTCTGTTGGTATTTGTAATTTGTCGAACAAGATTAGAAAATATATTAAATCTGGAAAAATGTTTTTATTTCTAAATAAAATTTAAATTTAGTACTTCATTGTTTTAAAGTTGAAGAAGGAGTTTGATTCTTATTTCATTGTTTTGGAAGTAGATGCAATATTCCTTTCTACTAACTAAATACTTATTGCTGAGATAATTATTGTAGACACGTAGCTTACTGTTTTATATAGTCTTCAATTCTTGAATGTGTACACAATACAATGACGGTAAGAATTAATAAAATAATTCTTTTAACATGGTGTAGAGGAGCAGGTAAATTTTGTCTACCAGAAAAGTTTTATGTTGTTACTTCAACAAATGATCATCTAATTGTACCTTATGAAATTATGTTTGAAATCATACAAATACCATTCTCCTTTTGATAAAACTTTGTTATTTTTGTGTTAAGTATTGAAGTTTCCTTGTTCCTAACTGTAGATGTGTTTAAATATTATAAAGGCTAACATTTGTTTCTTTCTGTGTGTAACAACTAGTTTATAAATAAGTGTTACATTTTATTGTTTTATTTGTAGGCTGTGGATTGTACATTTACCTCAAGTCCAATTTAGAGAAGAATGCTTTTCGAAGAAACCCTTACAGTCCTTCTGTCTCTTGTAAGTGGCTGTTGGTGGTATTAAAACTGTAGATAAGTAGACTCATTAGTATACAGTGTAAGGTCATTGGGTGAGGGATGAAGCAGTGTAAGGTGGAAGAGTCAAAAGACACCGGGTGAGTGGTGAAAGAGTGTAAGGTCACTGAGTGAATGGTGGAAGAGTCAAAAGACACCGGGTGAGTGGTGAAAGAGTGTAAAGTCATTGGGTAAATGTTGAAGCAGTGTAAGGTCACTGAGTGAATAGTGAAATAGTGCAAGGTCGTTGGGTGAGTAGTGAAATAGTGTAAGGCCACTAGGCAATTGTATTTCTGGTATACTGTTACATATGTTTACATTGCATTTCTGGTATACTGTTACATATGTTTACACTGTATTTCTGGTATACTGTTACATATGTTTACATTGTATTTCTGGTATACTGTTACATATGTTTACACTACCAGAAATACATAAACATATGTAACAGTAATATGTAACAGTATATCAGAAATACAGTATAAACATATGTAACAGTATACCAGAAATACAATGAAAAGTATACCAGAAATACGGTGCAAATATATGTAACAGTATATCAGAAATACAGTGTAAATCTTACTAACAGATACAAAATAAAACAACACTACAAGTAATTTAAATCTACTTACTAAAACAGGCAGATAAAAAGTTACACGACTTACCACAAGGCAGAGTCCATGCTATGTTCATTATGATGTCTCCAAGATAGTTTGGGTGACGAACAGTCCCCCATAACCCTGACACAATAAGGCGTTTCTTCTTACTTGTCGGAATTGATTCCAGATCTGTAAGATAGGACATGAAGTCAACTAAAGATGAATGTTATATGTATGGTGTTTTTAGATGCCTTTCACTCACTGTTAATATACTGGTTATAATACAAACAGTGTGAGGTTCTAAAAAAGAAAAAAATATGCCTACTGAAGAATGCTGTTAAAAGATATCACAATACATGTGTAAATATATGTAACAGTATATCAGAAATACATGTGTAAATATATGCAACAGTATACCAGAAATACGGTGTAAACATATGTCATTCATTTATCTGTGTGTATAGGTGATAATGTTGATCTCTGTGTAATACATTTGTATTTTGATTACAGAAAAGAGCTTTTGAACACAGTTAATTAAAGGAAAGCTTTGTTTTAGTTAAATAAAAAATATAGTAATTTAATATTTTTCTTCTCTGACAACTGTTTGCAAGACTTAAGTGTATATATACTGTAGTTATTGTGTTCAGAGTAAGTAATATGTTTTTGAAGTAGGTTGTTACATTATCTGTCAAATGTTATTAGATTGCTAGATCAGCATAGTTGTTTCTATGAAGAGTGATCATTTTGTTGATTCTCTGTTGTGATGTCAGAACTAGGTACCTCAATTTGTCGTGAAGGAAGTTTGAAGTTTACGTTCTTAAATGTTTTATTTTTCCGATATCTTGTAGGATTTGGTCATTTTATCCCTTTCATTCCTGCCTTATTGGTTGTTGCGATATTAGTCATGAGAGCTGCCCGAGAGGAATGGAAGTGCAAACAGCGGTACGGGCCAGCTTGGGATCGTTATACTTCGCAAGTTCGCTACAGATTAATTCCATATATCTTCTAGTAAAAACCCCAACATTTGTTTTATGTCAAATCACATCAGTATAAATCCTGGAACAGGTTGACCTCGGTTTTGTACAAAGCATTAGAGGTAGAGTTAGTTTTTCTTCAGTTTCTTGATCATGAAATGAAGATTTTTATACACTAAACAATGCCACTTTAAAGTGAGCACTGTTTCATCAGGTACTTTTTTATCAAAAAATAAAACTATTCACAAGTCTCAATGTTGAGACTAATTACTTGCCTGTCATGATTACCAAAGGTTAAAGAGGAAAAAAAAAGTGATTTTTAAATGCTCATTTTTTTAGTTTTAATGTCAGTTTTTTGAATACTTGTTTAAAAAAACTGACTCAATATTATAATATATATTTTATTAAGTGTCCCTTCAGCTTAAAAAAACTGTACTTCATTCATCCTCTCAGAATACTGAGGGAACTTGATTTTTTGGGATATATTTATCTTCTATTTTGTGGCAAGCTCATTCATTCTTAACAAGAAACATAGGTGTTTTTGTTGTGTAAGATACAACCTTTCAAGTGTTCAAATTATGTTTTTGCTTTTTGTTGTTACCATTAGTAATTTGTAAGAACAAATTATCTTTAATTCTGAAACCTTTTTATATTTTAGACTTCACGTTTTTACCTTTTTCTTGTGTGTGTGTGTAAAAATGTGTTGTTTATATTGTGTTATATGAACACAAAGTTTCAGTAACACTTTTGAATAATTTTTTTGTTTTTTACCATTATTGTACATATGGCAATAAAGTGGAATTTTGCAAAATCATTAAATATTTGAAAACTGTTGAACATCTTAAAATATCTTGTATATAACAATTGACAAAGATTCTGTTATTTTTTACAAAATTAATAAAAGCTTTTGCCTTAAAAATTCTGGTAACTTGGTCATCACAGTCGTTTTCAGGTTTGTTTTAATGTGTGTTATGAGTCACTTTCACGTTCTTTAAGTAAAGTAAATTTTCTTTTCTCCTAGAACGTTTTTTTTTCCACATTTATTAAACCTTTAATTATTCTTGAACTTTAATATTGGTAAGTAACTGCTACTGTAGCAGAAAATATTAAGAATGTAACATTAAAATCTTGCATTGGAGAAGGTTTAAATGTATAAAATGGAATTAAATAAATAATTAGTTTTAAAAAATTAGAACCGGGTGAACTGTAGTCATGATTAATTATATGAATTGGGAAGAAAGGTGTTACAGTAACTGTATACTTTTAAATATATAGTTTTTTAATAATATGCATTTGGTAAATCTTGTTGTATAAACGTTTTAACAGTATTGCATAATAAATTAACATGTTACACAATGTTTTCTGGGGTATTGTTTTCGAGTCCCAATTATTTTATAAAAATAAGCTCTACATATCAATTCTATTATAAGCAATTGATGAACCTGTAAAATTTTGACATGATGCATTAGTATTTAAGTTGTGGAAATAATTTGTATTGTGTTTCTTAAAAGTTTTGAATGATTAGGGTTAACACTGAATTATCAGATTATCCAACAGACTTTGTGACCTTGAAATTATTCGAGTCAAGGTTGGAGAGAGAGAAAGGTCAACACTTAGTAAAATTAGGTGAAGCTGAAATATTAACTCGCACACTGTTCCCATTATTGAATGGAGATTTTTGGTTGTTTTTTTTCTAGTAGGACCCATTTAGTATCCAAGGTAACAAGACAAATTCTAATTAGTGGCTGTTCTTGAATAACGGGTTGTTACTTGGTAGCATTTACAGAACACATAAGTAACTTTCAGTAACAGGTGTATTTTAAATCTTACAATACACTTTTAACCTCTGCGGAATAGACTTTTTAAAAGTATTTTAAATCTTATAATACAGTGTTAACCTCTGCAGAATAGACTTTTTTAAAGTATTTTAAATCATATAATACAGTGTCAACCTCTGCAGAATAGTCTTTTTAAAAAGGATTTTAAATCTTATAATACAGTGTTAACCCCTGCGGAATAAACTTTTTAAAAGTATTTTAAATCATACAATACAGTGTTAACCTCTGCAGAATAGACTTTTTAAAAAGGATTTTAAATCTTATAATACAGTGTTAACCTCTGCGGAATAAACTTTTTAAAAGTATTTTAAATCTTACAATACAGTTTTAACTCCTGCGGGATAGACTTTTTTTAACCTTTTAATAAAAGGTATTTTTGTGGCAATTCTTGATTTTCTGGTGTCAGTATTTGTATGGGAATAATTTGTACAATAAATAGTGATCTGTTCAACCCAGAGTTTTGTGTTCTCTTCTTCTTGAGTTCTGAGATGTAAACATCAAACGATGTGGTTTTAATGTTTCATGAGTTGACAGCTTTTTTAATAGCATTGAATTAGAAACAGTGGATAGTGAATTTATATTTGAGACACAAACGTGTCTGAATGAAATGTAAGTTTCCAAATAACCATTTTCGTGTAAATATATCTTCCTCATTTGCTGTACCATGTCTTGTTACCTTAATTGTTTCACATTATGTAATATAGATTTAAACGTATCTTAGTGGTTACTGAAGGTCACGTGTTTATTATGTAGACTCTTAACAGTTTTACTGGCAGACTTGCGACTGCTGTTTTTACCCTGCTTAACTGATACTGTAATAAAAGAGTAATATCAAATCTTGTAGGTGTAGTTTTAACTAAATACATCAAACACGTTTTTAAACCATTTATGTATTAAAGTATTGGCTGTTACGTGGCTTTGTTGGAACCCTGAATTACACAAAAATGGCACCCATATTGGAATTAATCCCACTAATTACTACTGGGGGATCTTTTTGAATTTTACGTAGAAAATGGGTGACTTCGCCCAATTTTTTACACCGAGAAGGGCAAAACAAGTTTTTAATATGACAATATGTATACTCCACAGATAGAGAACCTTTAGAACAGACGCTAAATTGAGGGTTAGATTTAACCTTCACGGTGTTGGATAACCGATAACATAAAGGTGGTAATTTACAAATACTCCAATTTTTACAAATTTAAGTATCAGTTTATTGAAAATGCACGAGCTTATTTAGTGATCTTGAATGGCAGGATCTAGCATTGCCTGTATCTATATGTTTGATATGTAAAAAATACATCAATTTAGAAGAATGGTAAATACAGAGCTAACTTTAAATTTTGTGTTATGAAACAGAAAGCAGGTGGACATATCAACAGTACTTTACGTTGTGTCAAGAAAATGTCTCCTCGTAGGTTTAGTGGTAAGTTTACGGACAAACAATGCTAAAATTCGAGGTTAGATTCTTCGTGTTGGGCAGAGTGTAGATAGTCTACTGTGTAGCTTCGCGCTAAAACAAACACACAAGAAAATACAACTAGTGTTAAAATAACAAACTCGTTAGTACATTATCTGATCAGTATAAGCCGAGTGTTTAGCGTCCCGGGCTGTGGATCAGAGGTTCGTGCTCAGCAGTTTGGAGCTATGGGTGCGTTGTAACAGTAATGGTTAAATCTCACTATTTGATTAGAGTAGCCTACGAGTTGACGGTGGGTGCTGTTGATTAACTTCCTTCTAGTCTATAACTTCAAAAGGAGGGCTGGCTAGCGCAAATAGCCATCGAATAATTTTGCACGAAATTCAACAAACAACTAATCAAAATTCATACTTTTATTAAGAATTCCTGAAAAAATGGGACTTAAAACGCTTGCAGCGACACCTCATTAGAATAAGTGCAAAATTTTAAATTAAGACTTAATTCAAGTTTAAAGATTTGTTTTTACGAAACTGTGTTACCAGTATACTTTTTTTTTACCTAAATATCGCCAGAAATACTTTCTGTTGTATTCCATTTCGGCTAAAGTTTTGGTTGAAAAGAAAAAT